TTGTTTAACAAAAGATAAACAATTTATATTTATGAGAACTTGGCACATTTCCAGGCTCTGGAACTGTGATCTATGTTGCCAGCACAGATCCACCTTTCAAATTGCTATGTTTATGTTCCTCTGGATTCTAGGCACTTTGGAATGGTTCTGACTCACACATTGCTATCAGTAGAATGAACTGAACAGGCTCTAGCAAGACTTTATTTTAATCCATTCATGTGATAGTCTGTGGTAGATAAAAAGAGGTAAAGATATTTTCATGTCTGTTCTGTTTAGTGGGATTTTTTTTATTAGATGAACCATAGCTTTGATCAGATAATTTAAAGTTAATTCCATTAAACTCATAGATATTGGTCTCCCACTTCATGTCATGTAGGCACTGAAGTGTAAGAGATATCAAGGCAATCACAAACTCTAGATATATGGGCACACAATTATAATATAGCTGTTATTCACTGATTAGAATCAGTGCAGAGGATACAAGGGGTGGGGGAAATCTCTTGATATTCCTTTCAGTCAGAGAATGTTTCCAATGAAGCAATACCTGGTCTGATTATTGGAGATATAAAAAGTTTATTTGTTGGAATGCAATGCTAAAGGGAAGCTTACACTTAAAAACAGAGAGGAGTCCTGAAGACAGAGAGAAAATGCTCCAAATGAAATTAGCGTAAGAAAGACAGTACCATAGTACCCCCAGTCAGCAGCACTATTCCTGCCTCTCAGTAAAAATGAAAGTATTAATGTTTGATAACAAAGAATATTTTTCCCCCAAGCAGAGTCTTCTCTAATAGATCACATGGAGGCAATGAGCAGAGAAGAGTAAAGCATAAATTTCAAAATAGAGGCCTTTTCTAAAGTCCCCCTTCTTTCTTACTACTAAAATGCCCACACCAAAAGGAACCCTGAGTGGGATTAGCAACTAGCCAAGGATCCATAGAATAAAATATGACTCAGAATTTTCTCCAGCTGACCCTATCAGGATATGGCCTCAACAGATTGTTTATTGTCCTTTGTTAGATGAGTACTTTGGGACTGTGATTTTTCACAACAGTAGAGTTTCTCTTTAATATGGGAGTTAATTTTTCAGGCAACTCCTAGGTACATCTGAGAGGGGAATCTTTCATCACCCAAGTGATACCTTCTCAAGAAGGGAGGAGATATAAGCTTTGAAAAGATATTTCTATGGATTTGGATAGGGGAAAAATAACATATTCCATAAATCACAACGATCTCATTGTTACTTCTTGTGATTTCTATTCTTTTTTGTTTCAAGGTAACTATATCATTAAGGCTGGCCTTGAAATTGTGGCTGTAAAAAAATATGCCTTTGTACAGGATGCATGTTCTCTTTGTATAACATTCGAGATCCCATTTTAAAGTGTAAAGCTTCAAGCAAAGTTGATTTTCACCCATTTTTTGCTTCCATAGAACTTGATTACACATATGGTTATCATTGCTGTGTATAGTGGTGTAATTGTGTGTAAGAACAACTCAATTAAAATCTTGCACCATTCTTAACTACAAATCTACAGTTTTATTAATTTATAGTCTCAGCAAATGGAGAAGTGAATAATGAGGAGAGCACAATGTATTAAAAATATGATGTCTTTGTTATGTGTTGAGCAAACAATAGCTTTGTGATTTTCCTTAAACCTGGTTTTATAATTTTTTTTATAATTAAAGAAGTTACATCTAGTAGCCAAAAATTGTTCTGTATCTCAAGTTGCTAAAATCTACCCATTCCCTCCCATTTCCTCAAAAGGCATGCACATCTTCATTCAGCAAATACTTGTTGAACATACACTATCAGGACTTGGCTAAGGAGTTTGAGATATGAGGGTGAGCACTGACAATTTGTTTTCAAACTTCAAAATGAACAGAAGCAGACACCCACACCTAAACACTGGAATCCAGATGCAGAGAGGGAGGACAAGACCAGGCTACAGAAACTCACAGAGACAGCTGACCTGAACAAGGAGGAGCTTATGAACCCCCCCCCCAGACTGATAGCTGGGAAACCAGCATTGGATTGACTCAGACCCTCTGAACATGGGTCTCAGTTAGGAGGCCTGGGCAGTCTAAGGGACCTCTGACAGTGGAAGCAGGATGTATCCCTGGTGCACACAAGGACATTGGGAGTACATTCCCCATGGAGGGATACTCCTTTAACCTAGAGGCAGGAGGGAGGGCCTAGTCCCTGCTCCAAATGACTTGACAGATTTTGTTGACCCCTCCTGGAAGGCATCACACTCCCTGTGGAGTGAAGGGGAATGGGATGGGAGGGTATTCAGGGCGCATGGGAGGGAAGGAGAGAGGAAAGGAGGGAAGGAAGGAGGGAGAGAGGAAGGGAGAGGGAACTGGGATTGATAGAAAAATAAGAAAAAACAATGAACGGGCTTGTGGAAAAATGAAAATGCATATTTATCATAAATGATTGTTACATAGCAAACCAAGGAGCTATGAGAACATATTAAGGATGAAAGAGCTATGAGAACATATTAAGGATGAAAGGGTTGACATGTATTATATCTAAGGACATGTTAAACAGTCTTCAATAATACAACTTGGCTTTTTGAGAAAGGTATTGCTATGTAGCCCACTGGCCAGGAGCCTGGGCATGCCTCAAACTCACAATTCTCTTGCCTCAGCCTCCCCTGTGCTTGTATTAGAGATATGCCAGCACCATGCCTGGTCACACCATATACACTTAAGGATTGTGTATATTTTGCAATAGTTAAAGAAAACTTTAGACCGATTCATGAAGTTAATGTAGTTTATAATTACTTATATGAGCATGGTGAGAAAAGGAATTGAGAAATCACTGAGGTTTGGCTAATGCCGTGGTAATAGCAACAGAAGGAAATTTGAACCCTGTCCTATAGTCAATGGCAGTCATGGTGCATTTTAATGACTTCATATTGGAAATTCAGAATGACCCTGGGGCAGAGTAGAAATAGATGGAAAGTTCATCAAGGTGGTTCATATAGATGCTGTTGCTATGGCCAATAGAGAGCTGATGGGCACCTAAACTTGGTTAGTGATGACACTGGTTAGTGTTGGGAACTGGGAGGATAATGGTAGAATAGGTATAAAATTGATTTAGGATATAAGACAGGTCAATGGTAGGGAGTGAAGGAGAAAATAGCATCCAACTAACTCCTACTTTCTGGCTGTGGAAACTGTGATAATGCCTCCACGAGAAAGAGCAAAAAGGGAGCTGAAAAAATGAAAGCAGGCATAGACATGACATTTGTAGACAAATGTTAGCCCATGCTTCTAAAGGGGACTGATTCCTCATATTATTTGTGGCACTAAAAAGACAGAATCATGATATTTTCAGTTTACAAAGATGTTCAAACCTTATCTCAGTGTCTGTTCTCAGTGGTGGTTTTCTATCAGACTCCAAATGAATAACCAGAGTTAGTTTCATCTGCTTTGGTGGAAAGACAGTGGATGATACATAATAAAGAGAAGATTCAGGTTACTCAAACCTGGACAGGAATTACCATATTCAATATTTCTCTAGATTATGACCTTAACCTCCACAAAGGTTATTTTTGTCAATAATGACTATAATTGAAGCAGAATTCAGGAATCCTTTGTCAACTGGAATTATGGCACTGTTACACTTTTTTGTGTGTTTGTTTTTATTTATTTATTTACTATACTTTGAGGTGTATACTGCTTTGAGCATTACATAGACTCACCAGAAATGCATGTACTGATAATTTGCTTCTAAAAATAGATGCCAACGTGAATTATTAATCCTGAGTTGGCTTTTGTTATTCTCAAAGTATGAGTCACACTGATGTCCAACACAGCATATTTTCATCTTAAAAATAAGTGAAAATATCTTCAGAATAAGAGAGAATTTTGGTGACCTGATGTGCTAACAACAGAGAGGCACTAGGAGCAGATTCAATGTAGAGTGAAATTTGAGAGGACACTCATGACAGTGTCTGGATCCCTGATCCCAATGCCCATGTGTAATGCATAGGACACACAGACCAATCAAGACCAGTGAACAGTGCGCTAAGTGGGTTGGGAGTTGGATATAGAATGGTCTCCTTTTCTTTCTCTACATGACCAAAGACTTTGAAACAGTATGCTTCACTAAAGGGACAGTGAGATAGCAAGATCCAGATTCCCAGTCCCTGGAGACTGAAACCATGGGTGAAGTTGGGGCGCATCTAACAAGAATGGTTGAATTCCCTCAGACTGTTTCTTGTTGACCCTTTTCTCTCCAGGCAATCTTTCTGAGATCCACATGGAAATCTCTAGCAGTAGCCTTTGCCAGAGGATGTTCTTGCTGTTGTGGGGATGCAGAGGACTAGTTAATAAAAAGGGAAAGGAAACTAGAGAAGGAAGTCTCCCTTCAGCCTCCAGGAGTCATCTGAGTGAACTCTTGCTTGATTTTTAAGTTCTTTAAAAATATTTTAATTCCTAGAAATTGTAATATTTGTCCTAAAATGCAACAAACCCAAGTCAATGTTCTTCATATGTTTGAACTAAAGAAAGAACAATTATCTTCCCTTTCAAGCTCATAGAAATACTGTGGGTAGCATTTTTTTCCTCATTATCAAGGGAAATTTAAACTTTCAACAGATCCATCAGCAAAATTAAATGTATGAGTAACTATATATCAGAGTTCTAATTTCTTGCTCTGATCTTTTCTCTCCATCCATGACTGAACTGCATTAGCACCTCAGTAGCTAGTCTTGCTTTGTGTAGGACTATCTCCTCTCTGTTTAAGTACATGTTCTCAGTCTTATTTGTTTGTAGTTTTTCTTTGTGTCAGAAATAGAATATATTGCCGTGACAAAAAAAGATAAGCTTAATATTGATGAAGTTTTAGTTGGATTTGACCAAACTCTGGAAGAGTGTGCAGCCAAACATATTACAAAGCCAACAGTAGTCATGCAGTATGCCCTGATAAAACCAAACTGTCTGAATCCTATCCTAACACTGATGCACCTTTTTCCTCTTTGCTTTTCCCCTAGAAGTATCGATACCAAGATGAGGACGGTCCACATGATCATTCCTTGCCTCGGCTAACCCACGAAGTAAGAGGTCCAGAACTGGTGCATGTATCGGAAAAGAACCTCTCACAAATAGAAAATGTCCATGGATATGTCTTACAGTCTCACATTTCACCTCTGAAGGTAAATCTGATTACTCTTTCTATTTCATAGCTGGTGAATTGTGTCAATCCTGATTGCTGAATTCAATTTTGTGGGCCTTATTGGATGAGGATTTTTTGTTTGTCTGTTTGTTTTTATTTTTTATTTTTCATAATTGTGGCTATTGGTTGGAGAGATGCTTTCTGTGGTTTGGAACCCAACCTGGTAATTCTGGGAAGTATTTTTATTTCCATTGTTTGAATGTCTGGAAAATCCTTTTAGCTGTTGAAAAAGGTCTAAGCAAAGATTCAGGAATGAAAACTTGACAGATTTAAGAGTGATCCCAGTGCAGAAGAAGAAGGGTATCTATCCACTGGGGTAAATGGTATGTTGTATGGGCTATCTTTTTCCAAATTGGTGGGATATTTTGCTGCTTGTGTATATAAACAGGAAGAAGGGATCCTTCTGGCTTATGTGGAGTCTGCCATGTGTTCTATAGGGCATCTGTGTATGCCTCCTGGGATCCCAAGTCTATGTAAATGTGTTTAAAGCCTGCATAATAAGGACAGGGGGAAAACATATTGGCACACCATGGTTTGCTCAAATGCTTTCCTTCTATCAGCATGTCTAATCTCAGATGAAACAAAGGAAATAAATATATCCTAATCACATCTAATGATTGCCTTGCTGTCTAAACTGAAACTGAAAATGCAGGAGATGGCTCACCAACACTTCAATTTTATTTCAGAAAATTGGTTTGCAAGGTGCCTTTCTATTTGGTGTCATATTTTCCCTGACACTTTTTACTTTTTAAATTTTAATTATACACAATTTTTGATCAATGATATTTGAGAAGAGACAATTCAATTAGAATAAGAAGTTTCTATATTCCTTGCATGCTATTTTATCTACAGATCTTTCCTTTCACCTGCATCTGTACTCTAAGGATCAAACTTTGGTTAACATACTTATGTAGGGGGCAACTTTATCCACTGACCTATGTTACCAGCCCAAATCCAATGGTTTTATATTGGCTTTCCTGTAATTTATTGTGTACTCTGTTCTTCACCAAGTTTTATTGGTTTTTATGATTATACCATAGTGTTGATTTTTATTGAAGTTTCCACATATCAGATTTTAAAGTATCATGTATGTATAATAAGATTCTCATACAAAATGCCAAAAATAGAAATATTTTTTTTCTTCTCTGGTTGAAGCTATGAGTTCAGAGTAGATAGCCTCCAAGGTATTTGGAAAGAAAAGAACAGTTTGCTCAGGACTCCTATTCTGAAGCCATGAGATAGCCCTTGTAAGGCAAGAATTTTCTTGTCTTGAGCATCTTAGAGATATTACACTAAACAGGATGTGCTTTTAGACAGTCTCGGCAGGAAAGACTGTAATATGTTCCTCTGACAGCAGTTATAGAAATAAACATTTATACCTTTTTAAGACAGTCAGCCCTGTATATGGGTCCCTCCATGGCTGACTCAGGCCACTAAGTTTAGCTAATGAAATACTCAGAAAAGAGAGCCACAGGAAGGGTGCAACACGCAGTAGCCAGGAATGTTAAGTCCAAGATCATGCATTTCCATAGAGACAGGACTAATTTCCTTGTCAAGATGGTAGGAACTTGTTCTATTATATCAGTTCAAGTGTTTGGAAAACCAGCATGTTGTTTTCACACAAAGGAAAGCTACTAAAATCAGGAAAATGCAAAGCACATACAAATGCTCAATTAGAAATGTGTTTTCAACTTCATTACTTCTCTTGATCTGTCCAGTGTTCCTGGGTCAAACATTATAAGGAGGCAAGAGGAAGGAGGCACAGCACAAGGTCAAAGAATGTCTCCAGAATTCCCCTGAGCAACCCAGGGAGTTCTCTGGTATTAATTAGGAATTTGCATACGGCATATCAAAAACAGAGTATGAGATTGCTTGGTAACCATTTAAATATCACACTGAGTAACCTCTAACTCATCTGCTGACTAATCTTAGCATTACAATTTTTATATCAGTTTTCTGCTCCTCCTATCACCTAATGCCTCAGTCCTAAGATTCTTGTCTTTAGTGCCTGTGTGATAAATTGGTTTGCTTAGCTACTTTTCATTAAAGTGCCTGGGCCAGTGTGAAGTATGGAGTTGGAAAGAAGCATGCACTTTAGCAATAAGTTTAAAACAATTTGTTTTGCTTGCCACAAGATGGGGATGCTTTTCTTCAGATACCATCTAGAATGTTCCATAAATGAAACAAGTTCATAACCACAATAAAAACTGAATTGGCATATAGTAAAGCATGAGGAATTTTCTCTTCAGTTTATGTCTTTTTGGTAAGTGTTAACTGTGGGTCAGTTTACGGACTGGCAAACAACATGGGTTTAAATATGCATATAACATCCCTATGAGGTTGGGTTATAATTACTTGTTAGTCATTCTGTCTGCAAACTCAGACCTTCTATCTTAAATACTATGGGACCTGGGTGCCAGGGTGCTTTGTGGTGAGTATTTATTAGTGAGCAAGTGATGGAGAGAGGGTTTAATTTCTATCTTATGGAATTTCATTGTCCTAAATGCCATAATTTCTCATATATCAACACAGCTGAAATCTGTCTGTATACAACAACCTGCAGTATCTTGTCATTAAAATTGATGTCACTTCCTAGAGTACATTAAAATTCCTGATAATTGTCTTATTATTAGTTAAATGTTGTATGATTTCACAATACACGAATATTCTAAGCTAGAATTTGGAGCAAATCCCTGGATTTGTTTCTTTGTGTTGTAATAACTGACTATACCCATCTTTCTCTACATCAGCACCTGTTATTTCAGTAAGTCCAGATTTTGTTATTTTCTTTCAGAATTGAATATGGGTATATAAACCATCATGGGGGTCAAAGACAAATAAATACACTTTGGAGTCCTAATTTGTCCTTTTCAGACTCTGTAACTTTTGGGGAAATGCGCAGCATTTCTGAGATGCTAGTAGTATAAGCATTAAGAAAAAGAGATATTGTGTGTGTTGGTTGATTCATTCTTGCAATCATCTTTTACTTCCTCCTGTCAACTGTATTTCTATGTATTGCAGTGAGATATAAAGAACTTGTCTATAGGTTTCTTACATGCTGCAGTTAGATTTTCAGGTTGGACACTGGCACATAAACTACATCATTTTGTGTGTAGTAAAATAAGAAAGAAGAGGCAAATCATCCTAAGAACTAGAATTAATTGTTAATGTTTTCCCCTATGGCTGAATAGGAGGTGAATATGATCAGAGAAAGAACTTTAGAGGGATTTATAGAAAATAATGAGTGAAGGTTAAAGTTGCCCTTAAGTCCAGAAGTTGTATAACAGTGGCCAAGAATTCTGGGAACTGAAGGTTCTTGAATGGGAAAGAAGGGTGAAATGATATCTGCAAATTACAGAGAATTGGGTGAGTGCAGGGCATGCCATAAAGCAAGGGGGAGAAGAGGCAAAGAATGACCTCTGGTGGAGTTTGGACTTCACCTTCTAAGTAATAAGGAATGTCTGCAAAGTTTACTATGGAAAATGACATAGTCCTACTTGCAAATTCCACAATTACTCATGTAATATAATGACGTTGAGGAAAAACTGGAAGAGAGTGAGATCAGAATCAAGGACATTCTCAAAGAAGGTAAGGTGGGTGAGCTATGGGATAGTGTAGAAGCACTGAGCATGAAGAACAATGAAATTGACAGTTTAGGAAATAAATCATCAGGTCTCTGAGACCTATTAAATATTGAAGTTAAAAAAAGAGAGTGGTAAACTTAAATTATGCTTCCATTTTTACTAATTGCATAAAAAGAAGTATATAGAATGGATTAAATTGTCATCGTAAGCAACTCACTCATAGAGCATGTTTGAAGCCTCAGATGTGATTCCTGCTTACCCCCCCCCACCAAAAAAACAGAGGAAAAAGATGAAGAGGTTAATACATAAATAGAAATACACAAATCTTCCCTGTAGTATAAGCTGTATGAGTAGGGTTCAGAATGGGGAGGAATATAGAGGACCGAGATACAGGAGCCACTCTCACCACCCAGGACTTTGTGGGAACAGGGGGACTTACAGAGATCAAAAAGCAGCAACTCACATCACAGTGTTTGCCTGGTATGATTTTTACAATTTTTACTCAAGGTTAAGTAATTGTCATCAAAGAGAGCATGTACTCTACATGTAAGAATATAACCTTCCTCCCATACTGCATTAGTCAGGCAGTAGCTGCCTGTAGGAAGGAAAAATGAACTGAAATGCTACACATGACCCCAGAAGTTATGAGGTCTCAAACTTCAGATGCTAAAAATAGTGCCTATTTGTATGTACTTTCTAGATGTGGTATTTTTAGGAATGCAATGATTAGAAAAACATTTAGCTGATTCTTGCCATTTTTTTCAGTATTAGCAATTCTGGAAAATATAAAACCTGTTCACTTCTGTCTCTTGCCACTAGATGGTGGAAGCAGCTGAGCTGATGATTCTGTGAGCATCTGGTCTTATGGAAAGAAGCTGAGATTTGTGAGGCTAAAGTGAAAAACATGTAGTTAATAAAGAAGGGTTCGGCAGAGGTTCGCATACTTGTGAGCCCAGGCCTGGTAAGAGGAGGTGTCTGAGTGGTCCATAGCCTCATAAAAATCTTTACTGAACCAGAGCTCAAAAACTCCTGGTTGGAATTCCAGGCAAATGGCACCCATCTTGCCTTAATTTTCCCTAATTGGAATGGGCCACAGCAATTTATCCCAAATCTCTTAATTCTTTAGGGTAGATGTTGAAAATAAAGAACAAATTTAAGGAGAATAAGGCCTACAATTTCCTTTCACAATTCAAGAATTCCCTCTAGGGCAGTGATTCTCAACCTTCCTCATGCTGTGACCCTTTAATATGGTCCCTCATGTTGTGATGACCCCCCAATTAAAAGATTTATTTTCATCAATACTTCATAACTGTAATTTTACTACTGTTATGAATCATAATGTAAGTATCTGGGTTTTTCAGTGGTCTTAGGTGATCCCGTGGAAGAATTGTTTAGC